CTGTAGACCAGGCTGGCCTCGAACTCAGAAATCCGCCTGCCTCTGCCTCCCAAGTGCTGGGATTAAAGGCGTGCACCACCACTGCCCAGCTATTCTAAGCAATTTAATTAGAAGTCTTTGCATTAACAGCTTCCCATTGCAAAAAGAAGCTTTGGTTAGAAACCAAAGTGAGAGAAGCATAGGTCTTTGAGTGCAAACATGAATATTTAAAGGACTTGACAACATGGTAGTTTAGCAAAATCACAACAACAGATTCTATCCTAGGGCCTGTGAGATTGCCAGTCACAGGCTGTTGGCCAGGTTTACAGTGTCAGGTATGAATTCTCTCCTATGAATCAAGTCTTAAATCCAAGCAGAGAGACATTGGTTATTCCTATAATGGTTATACCACTATTGTACTAGTGGGCTTGTCTTACCTGGCAGATCCGAAGTGTAGCATAGAGGGCGATACCTTTGGTATTTCTTCTCCAGTCGTCCGTATAACCCCTTTTATGACCGTGAAAACTAGCCAGCAGAATAGATGTTTCCTGGTTAGTTAGAAGTCAAGTTCTCTATGTCCCGCAGCCAAATTGTGTGACAGTAAGGTTTTATCATCTTGTTATGGTGGTCAACGAGGCTGACAATACTGGCTTTATAATTTTTTGTTGTTGGATCTAAAGAGGGCATGGGTTAATAGGGTACAACAGCTTCTGTCTGTGGGCTGTCCCATTTCCTGTGGCTGGCTTTAGAGGTGAGGCACAGCATAAGTGGCCTCTAGGAGGGTGCACTAACTCGTGGCTAATGACACAGCTGAACAGAACAAGACATTCCATGATTGATTATCAGTAGTGGTCATTGAGACTGGGAAGAGGGAGACCTAATCTGGGACTATTCCAGAAGAAGTGTGTGACCAGTGATCTTTGGTTTTATCAGCCTCCATGAGACTCTGAGTGGGTCCTTCTAGAAACAGTTCTCTGTGATGGAAGAGAGAGGACAAATGTCACTGGTCTACCTGCAACCCAGTCACCATTCACCACTGTGGCATTTCTGAGCTGATGTCATCTAGGTTATGTGTACAAGGAGAGACAGGCCAAAATGTCAGTTTTAGGCCAACCCATTACTCTCTTTTTCTTTTTCCTTTTTTTATTCCTCCTCTTCTCTTGATTTTGAAACATCTCATCTTTAGAACAGTCTCCCAGGTTGTCACTGATCGAGTATTGTCCATGTTGGTTATTGAGCTTTGCATAGGTCAACAGATTAGTATAAGGAGTGCTCTGACCTCAAGGCAGTTTGAGGCACCTGCTTGGCACCAGCTGAGGGCTTGATCTGCTGGAGGGCATAATTGCAGAGTTCACTATGGACAAGGTGGTACCAGGAATGATAAAGATTCCAGTCTGGATGGCGTGGGTCTGGCTACCCTGTTGCCAGGTCTCCCTGACCTTACCACACTGGCATTTTCTGGGTGTGGGAGAAGGACTGTGACTCACACATTTGGGTGTTCTGCTTTCCCTTGGGTTATGGGGGTGACCTCATTAAAATCTGGACTGTTTTTTGAGGTCCCTACTCTAAAGGAGCTTCAGGGATATGGATAATGGTTTGAGGTGACAAAATATTTCTACCTGGGGTCCTGCTTCTTGCTGGGAGACTTCCCCAGACTCATTGCAGATTTTTTCAGATTTTTTTTTTTATGATACTCTCAGCTTGCTCTTCTGTAATGGAAGAAACTACTGGTCTTGTGTCCACCTGTTCCCTACACATCTGCTTCCCACTGTGTGAGCCACACAGGCACCATAGTTCTGTTCATTTATTCTTCCCATTACAGCAGACCCTTCCCTGTTAGTTTCACTTTTTACTGTGTCTGAAAATGTTAAATGGAGTATTCCAGAAATAATCCAAAAGTTCTAAACACCTTTTATTATACTATCCAATACTGGTTCTATTTCTATCAGTTATTATTAACCCCCTAGGGGGGCTAATTTGTAAATTAAATTTTGTCTTGAGTTATATACAAGATAAAACAGTGTAAGTAGTGTTTGGGGTGCTGTAGCTTCAGGCATGCAAGGAATGTCTCTCCACAGATAATGAAGGACTACTACTGAGCAGGAGACAGTCCCTACACTACATATTTCTCTTATATTTTTATATTTAATAAGCAGCATGGTGGTTGGTTGATATAGTCCCTAAATAATAGGTCACTGTCTAAAAAAGTGAAAGCATATGTGTTTTAGCCCTTTTATCAATAACTAGAAAAAAACAAGATAAAAATATTAATATTTTCATCCCCATATTATGTAACAATAGTCTCAGAAGTTAAGTGTACAAAAATGGCAAGAAATTACAGATGTAAAACCCAAAAAGTTAGAGCCAACTGTGCAGTATGCATAATATTCAAGGATACAGGCCTTACATTTCAATTGTCCTGTTGTACTTTGGGCTGAAGACATTGCAGTGCCCAGGACTATCCTAAAGACTGGAGAAGACAAGACTTCTCATGCTTAAGCATTCTGGCTGTTATATGACACTTACTGTAGTTGTTACTACTATTCTTGCTGTTCTTTGAAACAGCCAGTGAGGTAATTTTGTGAAATCATATTCTCTGTTGGATCTGGTCGAGCTTTTGGTGGGTTAGTAGTTCTTAGAGCTGCCTGTGTGTAGAGGAGACAGATCATTGTGTGGCCTCTCAGAGGACAGCAATGACTTTTAGTTTTATGGTTTACCCTTTTCTCACTGACCTGGTAAATTAAATTGCACAGACCTCAAAGTGGGTGAAATGTTTCCTGTATTTCATTTTATAGTGAAAGTAAGTATGAAGTAAGTCCTTATACTAACCTCAGGTTTTGTAAACCTTGATTAGGGTGTACTTTTGTGGGGAGTACCAAGAAAAGAGTCTTGTATAAGTGGTCCTTAATAACAATAAAGTGTTCCAGTTTTGATTATTTTGAGTCATAAGGGTTAGAAATGGTACCATGAAATAAAACAACTGCATCAAAATCAAAGTAAATCTTCTGTTCAGTAAATCTCAAGGAGATGTTGCCTCTTCAGACTTCCCATTTGCTTTGTGAAGGAGGGAAGGCAAGTCACACACTGGCTTGTGTATGGTGGATTGTCTGTGAAAGTTACAAGTTAGGGCTTGACATGTAAGGGGTGATTTTGCTCTGTTATCACAATCTCATGTTCTGTTAGAATAAGTTTCTGCATGTGAGCAGACTTTCTGTAAGCATAGCATAAGGATCTTTGTAACATTTGTGGGACTACAAGCATGAGTGATACTATGTGTGCAGGAATGAGTGATACTGTGTATACAAGAATGAGTGATACAATGTATACAAGAATGAGTGATACTGTGTATACAAGAATGAGTGATACTGTGTATACAAGAATGAGTGATACAATGTGTACAAGAATGAGTGATCACCTTACAACTGACTTTCCTTCTAACTGAACCTTTTACTTTATTACATTTATGGAGTCAGAGTCTTCATTTGATAGCAGTCCAGTCTAGTACATAAGAGTTGGAAAATTAATTTTTTTTGTCCATATAAATGCTTTTTTTCATTAGTCGCAGGAACCTTACCTTAGCACACATATAACATATATATCATATGTAATATACTTACATTAATATATTACATTACATAGCTCATTGGGATATATACATTGGTTTCACCAGACTTATTATTTAGAATGTTTATATAGTTATTCTAAAAAATTTAAACATAAAATGTTATTCTATTGACATATATTAATAAAATATATCTATATCTACATATCTCACACTGTTATCATAGCCTTTTTTCCCCTCCTTTTTCTACACTCTTAGAAGTAAGTACACTTTCTCAATGACTGAAGATATTTTCAAAATAAATGGTATAAAATATTTGGTATGCACTGACACAAGATCTACACAAAGTGTAGTAGTTTAATTTATAATCGAAGTGGGAGCGTGGCCAAGCATAGAGATGATTGGCAGCATCTGTGTATTCTACAGGATGATTTCTTAAAGCAACAGTAGACTCCGGGAGACTGAAACTGCTGTTGTGTGGCCATAAAATTTTGGATTGATGCCCAGCTTAGGTGTTGTTATTTTTAGTAAGGTAAGCAAGGCAAAAGAAGGAAGTGAAAGGGATCATTATATTGATTTGCTTTGGGGGGAAATGAATTCTGTGCCTATTTTAATCAGGAGCGTCTTCCTTCCTTCCTTCCTTCCTTCCTTCCTTCCTTCCTTCCTTCCTTCCTGTCTGTCTTTTTAAAGCCAGCATTTTCCCATCCATAATATTAGGATGTTTTAATTGTTTAACTTTTCTTTGAAGTTTAGACAAGAACAGAAAAAGAATCACTACCCTGTTTAAGCAGAGACGTTTGAGGAGTGTGTTTGGTACTTTATAATTTTCAAACGGAGCTCGATAAACTCCTTTTCTTATTCAATTGAGGGCTCGATCATTTTCCAAATAAGCTGGGGAAGGCTTTAATTAGCACCTCACACTATTATTTTTAGACACATAAGATTATTCTCTGAATATAATTTTAAAAAATTAATTGTGCATATGTACATATACATGTTCACATACACACTTATGTATACAATATACAAACTGCAAATGTGTTTATTTCTCCCAGGCCCAGAGAACAGTAAGTACAACTTCAAAGTACCCATATATAAATACTTAATTTTACATATATAAAATGGAAATATGTCATTTCCCTTTCAAGTATACTCTTAGCTCATTAGGATATATACATTGGTTTCATCAGACTTATCATTTAGAATGTTTATATCGTTATTCTAAAAGATTTATCCTGTGTTAGTTATTATGTAAAATATATCCCATTATGATAATTTAGTGTCTGATTATGATAAGATAGAGTTTAGCTGGGACATCAGTTTATTAGGGCAGAAGTTGTGTATTAAGTGCTCCAAGTCGGAAGCTGGGCCCATTTCCTCACTGAAGCCCCTGGGAATGCTGTGGCTCTGGGGAGATGCTCTGAGGCTCTAACTCTCCTGTCTGCTGTTTATCTCACAGGCATTCTGGAATTTATCAGTATAGCAGTGGGCCTGGTCAGCATCCGTGGTGTGGACAGTGGACTCTACCTCGGCATGAACGAGAAGGGGGAGCTGTATGGATCAGTAAGTAACAACAGGCACTTCAGTAATTCCCATGCCCTGCCTTTAATTTGAGCTGCATTTTTGCTAGGTTGAATAAGAGTTAGGTGGGACACTGAGTCTGGAAAGCAAATGGGAGTTTTTACTTTCTGAGGCATGCTGTTTCATTACAATTCTGTATCTTCACTAGACCAAATTTGCCAAGAAAATGCTTTATTTACATGCCAAGCCATCTTCATTATCAAGTAAATAAAAATTCACAAGTGTGAAAAATCCATCTTCTTGTATTGAATGGGAGTTATTTTTGAAATGAATTGAAATGGTCCCCAAGCTTTGCCAAGCATTGTAATTAAAACTAGAAATAGGCCATGCAGTGAGAGTCTAAACCCTTTCTTTCTCTGAACAACACAAGATTTTCAGTATGCAGGAGAGATGGAGGTGGAAATTATTGTCAGATAGTCTTGTATGTGAATAAGGGTCCAGCAGCACTGTAATTATTTGCCAGCATTATGAGTTTTCATTCCCCATTCTCACTTCTATCCTTACTAGCTTGGAAGGTCCTTATAGTGATGGAGTATTTGTTGTAGCCTGCCAGTGGTTGGGAACTGTGCCTGATCCTGGGGTGTAGCTGTGAATGACACCAAGTCCCTGGTTCTGCTCTGCTTAAGGGTGGTTGGTTTAATCCTGTGCATCTCCCCAGTTCCTGTAGCATAGGAGCATATCACATGCATGGAACACAGTAGGGGTTCAGTATTTTTGCTAAACATACAGTTACTGTTTGGAACACAGTTCATCAGTAAAATTTTGAACAAAAAAACCTTTAAGGCTTACATTATCATGTACATTAATGTATACTTATCAGTGAGTGGTCAGGTGATCATTTAATCCAAGTTACTTGCACTATAAAAACTTGGATTAGTGTTTACAAAAGTTGGAATTTAGAGGCAGCTCAGACAAGGAAGTGTTCTGAAGTTCTCAGCTAATACAAAGATGGTGTGGGTCTAGTCATCTTAGTTTTGTTTTTAGAGTTTAAAAAAAAACTTTGTTGTATAAATGTTTTGTCTGCATGTGTGCACGCATGCCATGTGCATGCAGTGACTTCAGAGGCTAGAAGAGAGCATCAGATCTCCTGGAACTGGAGTTACAGATGGTTGTGAACCACCTTGTGGGTTCTGGGAACAGAACCAGCATGTACCCGTAACTGCTGAGCCATCTCTCTAGCCTCCATATCCCATTTTTAAAATAGACATACACACACATAGTGCAAAGTTTTATCCCAATATTACAAATGGAAAATTATATCCTGTATAACTTGAATATATTACACATTTAGAAATTTTAAAAATTAATTTTTCAGTATACAGAAGAATGTTCCATTATTATATTTTTATACACATGTTAAACTTTGCTTGTTTTTCCCCTTCATTACCCTTCCTTGTCTCTCCCCTTCCTTCTCATTCTCTCTCTTTCCTCATGTAGTTCTCCTATTTTCATGTCATATACATATATGTGTATAATAAGTACTGTTGAATCTAGATTTTGTATGTAAGAGGAAGCATGCGATTTGTCTTTTTCCCTCCTTTCTGTGTCTCTATCCTTTTAGACGTCTCCTCCTCCTCCTCCTCCTCCTCCTCCTCCTCCTCCTCCTCCTCCTTCTTCTTCTTCTCTCTCTCTCTCTCTCTCTCTCTCTCTCTCTCTCTCACACACACACACACACACACACACACACACACACATGCACACACACATGCATATAATATACACATACTTACACAGACTCTATGTTCTGTGATCGTAATATCTAAGTCTGGCTTATTTATTTAACATGATTTTCAAGCCCATCTATTTTCCCAAAAATTTATTTAGGTATAAATTCTTTATAGTTAAAGAAAACTCCACTATAAGCATGTGCTACATTTTCTTTGTCCATGCTCTTATTTTTTCCCATTTTAGATATGTAAGTAGATTTAATTAAGTCAATCCCAGTTGAATACAATACAAGGCATTTTTTTATATGTAGAACAGAAATACTGTCCTTTAGTGGGTTGAACGGACTATAGGTTATTTATTTCTTTATTGTGTTATTTAGGTGTGATGGCACAGGCCTTTAATCTTAGCACTAGGTTTGTGAATTGAGACAGCCTGGTCTACTGTTCGAGGCTAGCCAGCTCTACACAGTGAGACACTGTAAAAGTAACAAGAACCCCAACCAAAAGCTAAACAAATAAAATAGTAGACTTCTGCCCATCTTTCCCATGGCCACAGTCAGTTGACAGTACCAGTTATGGACTCTAGTGAGGGAGAGCAAGGAATGTGTAGCTTCTGTCTCCTGGGTCAAGTGTCTTCGGGATGGAGATTCCTCTTAGGACAGAGTGCTGCTATCAGAGATATACTTGTATGTTGTGATCTCTCTGGGGAAGCATGCTTTCAGATGTTTCCCCAGACCCAGAACCTCCAAGCACTGATGCCTTCTCCACAGTGATGTCAGAATTACCTTCTGCACCTTCATCAGAGGGTCACTTCGGTGAGATCTCTTCAGCGTTTGCTTGGAAGCACATGCTACCCTTTCTGTGGAGCATCCCAGCACTTCTCACTGAGCTTGTTGCCTGGGTATGCATAGCTGGTGTCATGTTTTATATCTGTTTCTGCGTGTCATTTGAATCTATTTGTTTTTCCCCAAATGTCATGAAGTCTGACTTGTACATGTGGGCAAGGAAGTGCCTGTCTGGAATACCTTTGTCTCTCTTTCTCTACTTGATGAAATAACACTCTTTAATTAAGGTCCAATGGAAATATTACCTGTCCTGCAGAGCTTCCCTCAATCCCAGCCATGGTTCTGCTTATTCTAGTTAGCATGTCTTGTTTGTCCTGGGAGCTGCTTTTTTACACATCCATCATTATGTAGGCAGCAGTATAATTTGTAGGATAGTTTAGCTTGTTTCCCATAGTTGATGTAAAGGGCCTGGCCACCACATCTTACTTCCTAATGTTACCTAGTGTATAGCAGTGGCCCTTGAGGTGGGAGGAGCACAGTAAATGCTTCTGGGGGAAATGAATAGCATGGTGATTGATTTCTATCTATTCTACAAGCTGTGCAGATATAGACCTTGATACACCTCCACCTATGTGGTGAGTGTGTACTCAGGATTCTAGTTGTAGGAGGAACCTCTCCCTCATTCCCATGCCTAATTGGACCATGTCCTGTTGTCCCTGGTGTGAATAGCCCAAAGGGGATGCAGCTGCGGCTGGAGCAGAGCTAGTGGCAGAGGCATGGCCAGGCTCCTGCCCTGCCTCTGCTCCTGCAGGCACCTGCTCTAGTTTGCCTCTTCTAAGATGAAGTACTACACCTTGGCTGAGGTTTGCTCTCTAGAGGAACCTCCAGAATCCAGAGTTTGTATTTCCCAGGCCTTCTCTGCCTCGCCTCTGATATCTCCTCCAACCCCCCTCCCCACTCCCGACACAAAACGGTTGTGCAACATCTTTTCTCCTCCACTGGGCTGGGAGGAGAGCTCCCTGGACAGCAGGGTTTTCCCTTTGCCGTGTACCTCATATGGGAGATTTGGAGAATGGGGCTGAGAACTCTGCTCCCTTTGGGCCCTTTCATGGTTTCCATTAGGTTTAGTGGTTATTCTGACCCCTGTGGTCATGGGAATGAGAAGTGACCAAAATTGCTTATTCAGAGTGCAGGAAGAAAAGAAATAGGTGGTGATGTTGTTACCAAGCACCCGTACACAGCTTAGCTACTAAAATGAAAATTTGTTAAAAAGCTTTGAAAAGATGGGTATCAAAATTCATGTAGGAGAGATCTGAATTCTCAAAATTATTCTCTGCCCTCCACACATGTCCACACATATATATTCTGTGATAAATAAAATTGTAACAAGAACATTTAAATAAATAAATTGATGATACTAAAAAAAAAGAAAAGATGGGTATCATTGTGAAAGAAAGTAAATAGGTTTGGGGAAACAGGAGTCACTTTTGTTAAACAAACTTTTGTGACATGTAGTGGGGTACTTTTGTATTTGGGAGTTAATTGTTCCCCCCCCTCTGGTTTTGAGCACATCCTGGGGTAGATTAAAGGAGACAGAAGTAAATTGGTGAAACTTCTTAGAAAAAGTAGAGAGGATGCTATTGTAACTACGTAGAAGTTGGAAAAATTGTGTTGCTAATGAGTTACACTTTAATTCAAAGGAGAACTTCAATAATTCTTACTCTGGATATGGTCTGGATATTGTTCTCAGGTCCTAATTTATGTGTGCCCTCTTCATTCATGTCTTCATAGATATTCATATCAGTTTGGTTCCTGGCCCTCTGCACACACAGAACAGCTATCAGAAATCTGGCAGGAAAAACATCTCTGTAAATAGTTTGTTGTAACTGAAGAATGCTTAAATGTCTTGGAGTCACAGAGGGGAGTTTAAAGAACTGCTTGGGAAATGTATATTGTAGTGTTTAAAGTGGATTTTGAGGGATGACTAGAAGTCTTAACAAATCGTGGAAAGACAGGTTAGGGCATATAACACTTAAGCTTTATAAAGATCAGAAAATCCTGTCTGGTTGAAATTTAGAGAGAACATTAGATTACATGCATGTACATGCATGTGCCTCCACATGACTAGACAACTAGGGGTGTTAGTTTGCGTTTGTCACCTTTATTGATTTCAAAGAGACTAGAGCTATGGCTCAGATCATCACTGTTAGGGGTTTAATCTAAATTATCTGATTATTATCAAGGTGCTTTAAAACATCAAGAATAACTGATTCTAACAAGCAACTATTGAAAAGAATGCTTCAAAAAAATGAGTCTGCTTCAAGAAGGCTGGAAGCATCTGATCCTCCCATTTAGAAAAAGGTAGCACTCACTAAATTAACCTAGAGTGTGGTGAGTGCAGCTGTGAGCCAGGGGACAGCACCAGACTAGGAAATGCTGGCATTTCTGGTTTATATCTGGCCTCACATTTCATTCTTATTGGTCTTTTACTAGATGAAGATTTTGAAGCCAGAGTCTCTCTATAAGCATT